TATATATGTACCACATGTAAGTACATTATTGCTGTCAATAAGTCGGTGTACCCTGAGAGACAGCTTCATTTGCATTATAAGTGAATGAGTGGGTATTCCCTGGATGGCGCGTAGGCTGGACTCTAGTGTGTACTTAGCGTGTACAGAGCCTTGCTTTATCATTAAAGCTGTTAATCACGACAAAAGTATGATTCACTCCCAACATGGAAAAAAAATAAAACACAAACCACCATTTGTCAGCCAATCGTGTCAGCTCAGTGACGAACTTCCTGGTCACACTTCCCCGTAGGTCCCAGTCCCCTTATTAATGGGTATGTTTGCTCCTGCAGTCAACAGGGAGGACGCGGTTTGACAGCGACTCACAATGAGAAGAAATAACAAATTATCTGCCGGCAGAAAGCTGTCACACAGTTAGCGTGGTCGGAGCCAGATAAGAAGAGTAACTACAAATGCTATTTACTGTGTGTTACGCCTAGCCCAAGGACGTACGAGGAAGGCAAACACAGGCGAGACTGGGGACGAGGTGCAGGATTTGGATAGCGTTTGCCACAGCAGGAAGGGGCTGCTGAAAAGCTAAAGAGATATGAGCTGGGAATACGTTTGGATATCATGTCTTGACTACAAAATACTAATTATCCGCGGATAAACTGCAGCGGCACGTCAGAAATAAAGGCCTCCTCTGATGGAGCACTGTGCTCTTTAATCCAGCCAGAAACCTCCCTGACAGGCAGCGACGAGCTACGGCAAAGGGTGAGGTACTGAAGTAATAGGGGGGAAAAGCACTTAGCTAAATGTTGACGCCAAATGTATCACAGGCTAAGCTAATGTTGCGAAATGAATTTCCCTTGCTCCTGCGGAGAATGGCTCAGTCACAATATCGGCGAGCAGCTGTGATAACGTTTGTTCCAGTCCTTCAGTTTTTCTTCCTCTCTTTTTCTGTTCAACAGGACGCTTTATTCACTATTGAAGGGATTTATGGGATCACAAGGTAACCTCTCAACCTGAACAAGTGTCACTCTTGTGTTTGCATGTGTCTGTCCGCAGGCTTTCATGTTCTCAGCGTATGACGGGCTTTAGTTTCCTTTGTTTACAGTCTGAATCTCTGAACAGCTGATACGTCCTCCTGCTGCCTGTTGTGTGTTGCTCTGACTTGGTGCAGCCTCTGCGAATAGCTGCCCGTGTAGAGAGATTACATTTACTCAGTCATGCACAGTTAGGCTACACTGCAAACAAAACCACCTAAATATACACATGGTGTTGCTTTTCATGTGCATTACCAGAGCTATAAGGCCACGTAGACACAAAAGTAAAGCCACCACAGCCAGCAGGAGCAATAACACTCCTGTAGCCATGTCTGAGCAACATATAGCATCACTCCCCACAATGCATTTGAGAATAGCAAAAAAGGCTAGTGCATAGCCTAAGGGAGCAACTTCTATAACTGGATTTACAATCACAGCAGTGCAAATTGTGTTTAAACATAATTTGTTCATACAGTAATGTGCTGATGTTCTTCTCCATGCA